ACTTGGCATGTGGCGTCTTCATATAGTTATTGAATGAGGCGGATAAAGGTTTGCGGTACTCCGTAGTAATGAAGCATTTTCCAAATTACCTCTCGGTCGACGCTGTTAAAGGCCTTCTCAAAGTCGATAAAGTTGAGGTGTAGAGTTGACTGCCATTCTATGCTCTGTTCTATGATGATGCGAAGCGTTGCAATTTGGTCTGCACATGATTTGTACTTCCTGAATCCAGCCAGCCAGCCTGTTTCGGTCATAGTTTTGAATCCAGTGCATCTTTAAGCCTCTCCAGGATGATGCGGCTTAATATTTTACTTGGGGTGGACAGGAGAGTGATTCCGCGCCAGTTCTTGCAAGCACTGAGGTCTCCCTTCTTCGGCAGTTTGACAAGGTAACCCTTCTTGCAATCGCTAGGTACCTTCTCTTCCTTCCAGACCTTCTGCAATAGTGGTGTGGTGTGAGCATGTCTGCTGTTGTCTCTGCGTCTGTTCTCAGTGCTTCTGGCGGTATCCCGTCTGGTCCTGCGGCTTTCCCGCATTTCAGTAGCTTTATGGCCTTCAGGACTTACATGTTCGTTGGAGGATTTATGTTCACTTGTAATTCAGTGGCTGCAGGTGGTATTTCTGGACGAAGTGCAGGTGGTGGTGGTGGTAGTCGATTCAAGAGCTTTTTGAAGTGGTCGGCCCATTGTTTCTCTTCTTTAGTAATTAAATTTCCTTCTTCATCTCTTATTGGTTTCATCTGTGTTGATCTCTTCCCAGGTAGTAAGTAGCCTGGTTATTTGATACTATGTCGTCAGGTCTCTCTTACCTGCAGCCTGTTCTGCTTCACTTGCCAGTGTCTCGTAGAAGTGTCTTTTGTCTTCCCATGCACTCTTCTTCACTTCTTTGTCCAGTGTTTTATGCATTGTACTCAGTTCCTCTTGTCGTTGAGCATCCTTGCACTGGTTTGTCTTCTGCTTCACCATCCTCCTCTCCTCTATCAGCTTCCATGTATCCATCGAGATCCATTCCTTGTCTTCTTTCTTCTTCCTTCCTAATACTGTTGTGCAGGTTTCTTTCCACACCTCTTTCAAAGACTTCCAGTGTTCTTCCATACAGGTTTCTTTGGGGATGTTCCTCGATATCTCCCATTTTGTCTTGATGGCTGCCTTGAAGATCTCCTTTGTAGTTTCATCCTTCAGTTTCCGAGTGTTGTACTTGAATTGAGGTCTATCACCAGCTTCCTTGAAGGCCTTTAACTTGATTTGGAAGGTTCCTTGCACTAGATAGTGAGTGGTGTGAACCTACATCTTCTCCTCTTCTTCACCTTGTGTCAAGTAGACTGCGTCTCCATTTTCTTGAGATTGAGATGAAGTCGATCTGATTTTTAGTGTGTCCATCTGGTGTCTGGTGAAATCCATGTCGCTTTGTGGATATCCTTGTGCCTGAACACACTGCCTCCAATCACCAAATCGTTGAATGCACAGAATTCTGCAAACAATTCTCCATTCTCGTTCATTTAACCTAGCGCCTCTCGACCCATGGTTAGTTCTCTTCCTGTGTTATCCCCTCCCAGTTTGGCATTCATGTCGCCCATTAGAATTTTGATATCGCCAACTGGCGTCTTGTCCAGTGTTGATTTCAGTTGTCCGTAGAATTCCTCCTTTTTCTCTTGCTCTGCATTATTTGTAGGTGCATAGCATTGTATGATTGTGACCTTTCTTCTTTTTGAGTTGAACCTTGCTGTCATGATCCTGGAGGGGATTGGTTCCCACTGCATGAGAGCCTTCGATGCTGTTGGGGACATAATGATAGCCACTCCGAGACTCAGTGTGCTCGTGGTTGTCGTCTGAGTGACCGGAGTAGATTATTGATTCTCCAGTTGACAGTTTGGAGAGTCCACTTCCATTCCATCTGCTTTCGCAAATTCCAAGCACTTCGATGTGATACCTTCTCATCTCGTTTGCAATCTGGGCTGCCTTGCTGGGTTCAAACATCATGCGGACATTCCGTGTCCCCACGTTTACTTTCGCTTTTATCGAGAGAAGACACATCGGCCAATTGGCTTCCCGACGGCTTTCACCAACTGGCGTCATTTCGTCTATCCAATTCCAGCGAGGAATAATTTTGTTATTATTTTTTATATATCGTTTGTGCTTCGAAGTTTCTTTAGCGGTTAGATTTGTTTTCCGGGGTAGGGTTGCTAGCCCTATGCCCAACCTTCCCTCTTTACCCGGGGTTACGACCGGCTAGTAACTAGTGAACTAGTTAACCAGGCGAAAAGCAGCTGGTGACCGGAAATGGGAAAGGGTGGCAGGATCAAACGTCACTGACTCGTGAGGTACACAAGGATGGTGGTGAAGTTAACGAAAGTGTTAACCAGTATATGGGAATCAAATACGATCCCCTCTGACTGGTCTGAACCACTGATTATTCCAGTCTTCAAGAAAGGCGAGAAGTCCTCTTGTGATAACCACAGAGGAATCAGCTTGACGAACATGGTGTCCAAGATCCTAGGTTCTATAATTCTTCGACGTCTGAGTGGAGCTTGGGAACAGCAAGTCCGAGAAAACCAGGTAGGCTTTAGACCCATCCGCGGGTGTACTGACCAGATATTCATACTGCGCCAGGTTCTGGAACATAGGCACGCTTACCGACGCCCAACACTAGCTGTATTTTTCGACCTGAAGGCGACATTCGAGAAGTCTTATGGCAATGTCTCTCACTGAAAGGCGTGCCGAGTAAGTACATCACCTTATTGAAGGCTCTCTACTCGAACACTTGTTGGCGTGTTAGAGCCTATGGCGAGATGTCCAGGGAGCTATGCTCATCTGGTGGTGTCTGTCAAGGGTGTTTACTGTCTCCATTCTTATTCAATTTTATCATAGATATTCTCATGGAGGTCTCCATCTCATCACCTGATTATACAGATGTTGACCTAATCGCAGGCGAATTTCCCTTAGACCTAGAATATGCAGATGACATAGTCGTGTTAGGTGAAGACGCTGATAAGATGCAGAGTCTTCTGAACACTTTGAGAATGTTTGGGATGCGTTTTTCACCACCCAAATGTAAATTGTCGCCCCAGGATTGGTCTTCAACGGTGCCCCACCGCGGCTAACAATGCAGAGTGTAGTGACTGGGCATGTCGATCACTTCACTTACCTGGGAAGTAGGATCAGCCCTAATGGCTGGGTCAGTGGCCGATGAAATCTCTGCACGGATACAAAAGGCTCGACTGGCTTTTGCCAACTTACGCCACCTATGGCATGGCGCCTCCGTGATGTCCGTTTGTCTGTTAAAGGTTGCGTGTACTGCACAGCAGTCCGGTCTGTTCTACTATATGGCTGTGAAACATGGCCATTGAAGGTAGAAGATATGAGAAGGATGGCTTGAGGTGTTTGACCACCGTTGCCTTCGTAGTATAGGCCGTATTCCGTAGTGTCACCACATGATTAATGCACAAGTTAGGAGTAGAGTTTTAGGGAGTATAGGTAAGTCTGTTGACGAGGTTATGAACCTTCATCAATTGAGATGATTGGGACACATTTTACGTACGCCTAGTCACCAATCGCCCCGTCACATAATGTTGACCGAAGTAGGTCCAGGCTGGAAAAAGGCCTGAGGTGGCCAGACTAAAACATGGCACCAATGTATGAAGTCTTTGACTGTTGGATTGAGCTATGTGGGGCGATGCAGACTAGGTGGTTGGGGTCCGTGAGACAAGAGGAACCAGTGGTTGGAGACTCTAGGCGATATGACTCAGAATTGATGTCAGTGGCGCAAATGTATACATGCATTATCCTCATCTTAACGGCTCTATACCAAATCTCACCATTTTCTCATTCTTCCTTTCTATTTTTTCGTATTTTGTATTTCTTTTGACTGAAGTTTCTTATCTTCATCTTGCAGTTCACTGCCTTTCTACTTGATTAACTGATATGAACTGTGGCAACTGGGACCGTTAGGCAGTAATGCCTTATACTATGTTGATGATTGCTGGATTCCACTATATTAGGATTACCTTTGATTCGTTGGACACTGACGTAATCTTGAATTGTTTGTTAGAGAGGGATTTCCTTAAAAGTTTGATAACGTCTTCGAAATCCTATTCAGCAACGAAGGATCATTATTAATCCATCTAGATTAAAGCTTCCCTTTGACAGCACACACTTCAATTGTGTAGCATTTCGATGAGTTAATCGTGTTTCCGGCGTACTAATTAGGCAGTCATCTATGTGGAAATACTTAGTATAGTTTCATATATCATAATCGTGATTTCTTTTCCTGTCTTCTGTGGTGTGACTAAGTTGGATTGAGGCAATTAGGATGTGGTTACGTCAAACAACTGAGCTTTTGTTTTATGCTCCTTTGGTGCACAAGGAACATCACCTAATGAACCACCGTAGGAAAAAGCGTAACACACGTCTTTCATCTTTGAGCACATGAACATTAAGAAACATTGCTTCAGTTTTAACCATCACAGCTAAATTTCCTTGACAGAATTTCAGAGGTACGTTGACTAAAGAGTTTGTTAGGTCGTTTGGTGATTGATTTTTAAACTTGGTAATACAGTCACTCCATGATGAAGACCAACAGTCGAAAACGTTTCTAAGATTTCCCTGGATGAGAAACAGGATGATTACACCTGATGTGAGTATGGGCAATAAATTATGTCCGGAAGTGATCTAGTAAATCATACTGTTTCATTGCATGACACATCCAATAAACAGACCAAAGTACTCGTACAGATTGTTTGCTAGAGTCCCGAAATACGATAGATTAATGGTTAGGATGTATGAAAGAGTTAAAAGCGTGTATAGATTTGTTTGTGCCGTGCTTAACCATTATTACTAAGAATATTAATCTTTAATTATTGGTTCTCCCTATGTTCTCATACGTTTGTTTTGATATTTTCGGTACACTAGTGGCATACATAAATTATTTTCTTAATGTTTTATGCACTTTTTACTTGTAGTAAGCTGTTTATGTCTCATACTGGTTTCCATGTATTTCTTCCCTAAGGATCGACATCTTATTTGTTTACTCAATGGAATACACGGTCGATTTTATTCGTATTGGATGGACAAAGCGTATCTCAAATGACCATTTCAGTTCTGCATGTACAATATCGTTACTAAAGGGACCTAAACTCATACTGATTGATCCCGGTAGTCCATGGGATTCATTGTGGCTTCTTTCCGAACTCCAAGCTCGTGGAATAAGTCCTTTGGATATCGATTATCTCATCTGTACACATGGACATATTGATCACATTGGGAGCTTACACATATTTCCAGACTCTACGCGCATTCTTGGGACAACTTTCGAGGTTCCGGGACAAAATAACTGCTTTTCTATTCTTAGGACTCCATTTGAGATAGACTCTAGTATTCATGTTATAGCTACACCGGGACACACTCAGACAGATATATCAATTATTATTGAAAATATTCACCCGTTCGGTCGTGTTGCAATAGTAGGTGATTTGTACGAATGTGAACAAGATATAAATGAACCGTCTTTATGGCAATCATCTAGTGACAATCTAAACGTACAACAAAAAAACCGACAGTTTATTTTCGACACAGTTGATTTCATCGTTCCTGGACATGGTTCAGCTTTTAAAGTGCCTAAAGGCTAGTTGGTCCATCTTTTTATACTTGTTACCTAATTCACTGTAGTCCTAATGACTTACGTTACTTTTTAATCCATGTATCTTGTACAAAAATTATAAAATAAGAACAAAGTGGTTTCGTTTTACCACTTCGCATCTGAAAATTTGAAGGGATTTGCAAGTTTCACCTATTTATGACCGACTTAACAGATAATTTTAACATCTTTCTTTCCCACTTCTAGTCGTTCGACTAACTTAATATCTGTGGTAGTGTATAATTCCATACTAAATTGTTTCTTTGATATTTCATACAACGAAAGCCTTTTACCGAATGGAATCTCGACCAGAATTTTTTACATTCATATCAAAGGATATTAATGTGAACAATAAATTCTGTTCAAAGCGTCATTCAGTAAGGAAAACAGTGTAAAGTATGCAATCTGACTTGTCTCATAAGTTAACACCGTGTCCACCCAATATGCACTTAGCTATTTTATTTAGTGTTGAATTCTCTTCTTGATTTGATGACCACATGTTGGTGATTCTGTCACTGTAGAATCTATTTCATACTTTTTTGAAGAGTGATTAGCGTAGGTAAATATTCATTCCCGGCTTTAAACTAGGCTTCAGTTTCACTATATTATTAAGGTAGTGTATTTTTTTTCCATTCGATGGTAAATGAATACAGTAAGCATAGTTTTTAAAAAAACTATCCAGATGGTCATATCACCGGATCTCAATTTAGAAAAGTTAACTGAAGGAGAAACCAACCAGAACCACAAGGCATCTGGAGTTAATGAATTCAGATACATGCTATACTTTAACCTCTAGACAAATTTCAGTTCATTGAGTAGTAGGACTTATAGATTTCCAAACTACTGACAATACTGATACTTGCCTTAATTGCGTATACCGGATATATTAGTAAGCAGCTGTCCAAAGACCTTGTCATCTGATCTGTTATGGTCAATATAGCATTCTTCCAACTAGTTAAGATATTAGTAGCGACCCGTGAACACAAAAGAAAATAAATTAGCTTTTAGTCGTAGTAATACTGTCGTCATTGTTATCTGAGTTGTCTTGGAAATTCGGATAACAGAAGTTTAACTGTTTATCTCACAAAAGTATTGCCTATTATGACAGCATATGTGGTGTATAGCTTACTGCATGGGTTTGCATCCATGAGGTTAAATTTTATTATATGCTGAGGCTAAATGAATAGAGAAGAAAGGAAATCAGATGGTACTGTGGGCACTGATTCGTGTGGACCTTAAATTTGAATACCGATTAGGGTAAAAGTGTAGTCATATCGTTTTGAAAATGGAAGACTGTCATTAGATGACAAGTAGTTGGATAGTCTTATATGCCTCGAAGTGCGAATCCTATTAACGCTACTGAATTTGAAAACTATGACCAGACTAAACACACGGTCTAAATACTAAGTGTATTTGTCAGCTATAGCTTTGGCAAAACAAACCTCATAGTATGCGATTTGCTCTTTTGCTACCAGTTAATCAGCGTTCAGGTCGGCAAGGCCAGGGACTAGGCCAACATTCTTTCGAACCATACGCAAAAGCTAAATTACCCCAGCTTAAGGCATTACTGCTTCAGTGTCGTCTTATCACCGCAATTTCGTGCAAGTATCTATGTTCATGCGTTTGGATGGTACATCACCTTTCCTGTTGAAGATAAAGGGAACCATATGCTTGGTAAAACCTAGTTTTGTTTGATATCCGCAGACAGCATGACAAGACTATTAACATATAAAGCGACAATTTGACTGGCGCTTGATAAGGAAAAAACGATGTGTAAAAACCTACCTTGTCTGAATTCACAGATTAGTATAAAGTTTCCTTAGCGTTGTCTCTCGACTAGCAATGGGATTTATGGACAGAATTTTCACCAGTAATGTAGCGTGTTCCGTAAATCAAGAACACTGAAGATGATTCCACTAAGGCTGGTGAAATTATTAACTTCATGAGATCAGTGTCATTTATGCAAAGACAAGTTTATATTCCGCGAGTGACATTTACGCCACCTTTTTCGTTGACACTTGTTAGTTGTCAATATTTTTCCCAAGAACAGTCTTTTTAATCACTCAGGAAATCTTAATAGCAGAATTTTCGAAAGAATGTTAAGCTTCCTATTAGTGAATATTGACTTTCAGCATGTCGACCCGTTAGCTGTAACCCTTGGGAAGATGTCATCATAGAATGCGAAGAACAAACGAACTTCTTGGTATGCTGACAGTGCCACTTATGATCAAACTCATTTGTTGGAAGAAGTTTTAGCTGTATTTATTCGACTTTCACGTCTTTCTTTTGGTCCAGCTTGAGTATTTAGATGACTGAAAACATTTCCGGAAGCGTTCAAACTTTGAATACATTGTTGAGAACATGTAACTCCAAGTGATTCTTCGTAGACTTTTTCTTCATCGTATAACAAATCAAACTGCCCCATCTGGTCTTTTGCTATGCTTTTGTTAGACTTGACATCTGGAATTGTTCCATTAGGTATGACAATATTAATAACATCATTTACTAGTTTATATTTCAAAATACGGTCACTTGCTGTCGTAGCTGATAAGGATGGAGATGCGTTAACCTCAACAAGCCACGCCTTGAAGTTGTCGTCAATTATTATATCGTAACCATAGCACTCGAAGCAGTGTCTATCATTTATCAGTACATTCGCAACTGCTTTTAAGGAGTGTACTATTATCCAATGAATCTCGTCAAACAGTTTGTCTGCGACTGATTTACCTTTCGTCCCTTCCAACCACAAACGGAAGTTTCCTGTGGTCCACTTACCCCCATGTACACTATTGTAGTGCACACCATGTTTTTGGATTGAAACGTTAGTCAGGTGAACAAACATATTATCCAGTTCGTTGACGTCTGAGTTGTACCTAACTGTGCAAAACCTGCAGAATCCCAGTTTATATATATAGGCTTTCAAAGGTCGGAATGTAGTTACAAGGACATACAGACGTAGATCAAACTTCTTCCCTCCAATGAGCAGAGGATTATCAATATATCGGGATATTACATATGAATCTCTACAGCAGATTGGCGTTGTGCCCCCTAGACTTGACTTCCCTTCTCTGGACCAGCGTTTTAGCTGAGAGAGTCTGTTAATCAAGAATATACCAACACCTCGCGCTCGTCCACTGGGCTTCATTATCCATGTAGAGGAAGGATTCCTTTTGAAACCCTCAGCAAATAAGTTGTAATCTTGTGGCAACATGTAAGTAACTGGAATGAAATCCAAATATATGTACTTTCCTGAATCATCCTTTGCAGCTAAGGGATTACCTTCTCTCTCCAACTCACGCCTGTAACGCTTGATGTTTTTGACCATTAGATCCTTTCTTGTTAGTTCGAAATGGTTCGGAAAATGATTGACAACCTGAATCAATAATATAATTCACTAAGAGAAAAAACCTGGTTATCGGATAGCCGGTATGATGTGTCACTGCTAAAAAGCATGCGTATGCTCTGGACAGATGCCCAAAATATATTCCAGTCTTCATCAGGAGATGTAGGGACCCACCCACGTGCTTCGAAATTACTCGTTATGACGGACTTCTCGACATCTGTTGCGAACTTCATCCCACTCATGTACTCTAGCCGGTTGAAATCCCGCGTGTTGTTATGCACAACATAAGTTACCTCAGCTAAACGAATGTTTGCAATAGGTAAGTCATTAATTAAACAGTCTGCTGAATATCATTTTGATTATCTGGACGAAGTTTCTCCGTGCGAGTAGATTTTAGATGGTGTTTCATTAGCTTGTTATATAAGACCTTGCCGTCCTTGAGACGAAGTGTAAGTGTAGTTTCTCAACATTTTTGCTTTTGTCGCGCAGCGACACGACAAAGTCCCTGGTTCTTAACAAAAGTACTATTTCGGAGCTTTAGACTCCATACCTTTATCCGATTCTTGAGTGCATTTCTAATTACGCTGAGATACTGAGGCCTCACCTCAGAAATCTATTCAGGATAAGGTCATGTTCTCTTTCAAGTTTGACAGAGCATTTTTTGCTTACCTTTTTCTACTCCCTTCAAGTTCTGATGAAAATAACTGCTAAGCCAGCGTCTTGTAGGGGGTGGAGCTGCCGTCAACTTGGGAATAAGGTCAATACTAAGCTTGTTGTGGACTCGAATCCCTACCTCACTTAAACCACTAGTTGGCTAGTCAGTCGAGGATAAAAATTATCCACGACTGAGGTCAAATCAGAAGGAAAAGGGGGGGCCGAGCAAGAGGGCAGTTACCAAGAGTTGAGAGAATATACCACCACATGAAATGATTCTGTGACAGTCCTGAACCGGACGGATTGCCCAGATCTTTCATATGGCTGTTAGTGTAACGACTATGGGGTTCCGTGGAAAAAAAGTATGCGGCAATCGGCCAGTAGCTACAGCTTGACGGCCACTACGTCCCGGTCTAGTAAGCATGGATCAGCCCTGACTAGTTTGGTTGGCATTCTCCAGTTCAGGTGTTAAGGGTGTGCTGTTAGCATCTCACATGGTTAGAGCTGAATTTCATGAATCTTCAATGAATAATGAATTAGAACTTATCAAGGAGGGATAGGAAACACTTCATTGGTAAACCGTGTTTGAGCAGGTTTCTAACCCCAACAGCTGATAATTCGGCAGACTTTGGACATCTGAGAGGTACCGGGGAGTGCGTTCAGGGTAAATAGCACAAACTATATCTACTTGAATACCGAAAGTTTATCTAACAAAGCCAATGAACCACTGGAACTAAGTGAGGACATACGCTCATTTTACAGCTGTTACTGAGAAGTGGGTTTCTTGTGCAACGTCGGGTCAGAAGCTGGCGGTTGCCACCATCTCACTGTTTTGAAACGATAGTAGATCTTTGTGTTGGCTTCTGTTTCATCGCTCATTTAATCCACATTTTAAGAATTGGACTGTCTTGAGAACCTCGACGGATGCTCCTCGATGCTGCCCGAGGCAACTCAGTGCTCGATAGGGGTCATTTTTAAGAATTCAATCGCCTATACCTAGAATGACGATCGAAATCTAGGAGCATCCAGTCTCTCTATCAAACTGGGCCGCGCGCGTTCAACCAGACAGTTTATCCATTTAAGTTAAGCTTCACGGGAGTGGTTAGCTCATTGGGGCCTGGTTAGCAAACTTTTGGGGGGACTATGGTCTGCGGAATATGTGAGATCATTAACCCGATGAGCGAAAACGGAACCATCATCGCGCCTTGGCTCCATCTCCAGAGGTGAAGACCTAGTGACCACTAACTTCGCGACCCCTCCTCCTTTGGGCAGGAGTAGCCACGTTGCTAACTGCTCCCGGTTTGTCTGCAAAAAATAACTGATCCTAACTTTAAAAGACCAAACACTCTAGCTCTTTGAATGGCACTTTTGCAGAGAGATTGCTAGGCTGTCCATGTATGGCAGGACGTTAACCCCGCTTTGAAGATTCACGCTTCACGAAATTGTGCATGCCATCGGCCAGCCTGTCCCACTTTCAAAGCTGAAGTTCTTCAAATCGCCCAAACTATTACGCAGTTCTACTAGTAAATTACTTGGGTTGAAAGGACACCACTAGGCCGGACTCAAAAGGCCTGGGCAAAAATTCACATGAGGATTTTCTTGGTGGAAAAGAGACACGTGCATGAACGCGCTGAGCGTCGATTGAAATAGCATCAAGTTAGGCTTCCGAACATGTCTATCTTCAACCACTCACCAGGCCGAATCGTTCCAACAGGTCAAAGCGACATTCTGTCAGCCATCAGAATTTAATGAATTGACCAGTAGTGACAGTGAAGCAGTTGAACTACAGGTTGCTCATCACTTGTGGATTATTTTGCCATCAACCACTGCATCGGAAATTTACAAACTTCCCATTAACCAACTGTAACACCCAGCCACTGGTTTAAGCGCTGAACTGGCACAGTGAAACTGCAAATTGTCATGGTAGATACCTCTGTGGGAAAAGCGAAGTCTATGTAGCAGTTTTTGAGGGGGGGGAACCTTAACCTTGTTCGAACCTCCAGTACTGTTTAGGGATTCTCCAAATCAAGGAAAGGGGCCCACTTTCGGGAGTCGGGTTACACAGCTTCAATCTTCAAAGGAGGTTTGCAAGTCAATTCAAAGGTATACAAGACAGTGACGATTTCATCCACGCCTTCCAACGTAGTAGAATTTTAATTTATGCTGAGCTGTGAAATCACCCTGTAGCGACTAACTTCTTTATGCTCCAACAGCATAGACCTAGTAAAGGGTGCCACACCATTGCCTGCCTGCCTACCGTAATCGATACACGGGCTAGGATTCCCAACCATAGGGGCAGAATTGATATTATTTATCGAACTTCTGTGAGGTTTTCGATCGTGTTAATCCATGCCCATCTCATGAATTTCAGCAAAGTTTAATAAGATCGTGCACACGAGTGACTTGATATGTAAATTATTTAATACCAAACAACAGTTCATAAACTTCCAAAAATTGTGAATTTGACAGTGCCTGTAGACTGGTATCCCTCATGTTAAACCCATTATACGAGGATAATGTTTATTATTATCTAAACTTCAACACTATATACGCTATAAAGCAATATTTCCTTGTTCGTCTCATAACTAGCAGGACCTTCGGCAGTTTTTAATTGAGTTTAACGACATTCCGTCCGTACCACTCAGGACTCGTAGTCTTGTAGATATTTTGGGGTGCGTAAACGTGGTGAAGCCCTTAAACTGGCTCCCCTGATGTTAAAATCTTTTTTAATGTGAGAATAAAACATTTGTTTATCTATTTAACCGCCTTAGTGGTAGGCTGAAACTAGTCAGGACCAAACAACTGCCCATCGACTAGCTATTCACACATTCATTTACCTGAGAGTTTACTTACAGCTTCCGTAAACCTTCCTATTCCTGAACAGAAAGAATACCTTCATTCAGTTCCCCAGGATTCGATGCTTGTACCCATTCTTTTGTCAACAAACACAAGCGACTCGCCTCAAAATGTTTCCTCTAAGGTCTTTTTATCGGTGTGGCGTCAAACTGAGCAGAAAAATCAGAAGCCGGAAAGATAGGATCGCCCTTTAAGAAGACTTAGGCCAACTTTGAAACCGGGCAAATTTTCAACTGCTTCATGTGGCCTCACTCGGAGTTTGGGCCAACAGTTTTTGCCCCTCCACCTTAGGATAGACTGAGCCTAGAAGCCGTTCAGCGTCTGGAGACCGAATCTACTCCAGGACCTAGGTCTAAACCATATGAGGAAGTAAAGGAATATGGGAGACGAAAAGGGGAATTGATAGTATCATAAACACCCCAAGGCGCCCATTCTGCCTCCCAAAGAGTCTCGGTTGTAACGTCATTCATAGAAAACACAGAAACTGGGCTCAGAGCACATTAGGTTAGATATCAGACACAATCCCTAATTCTAAACGTTTCTACGTCTTTGAACGCTCTTCCTGCGGCAGTGGTCCAGACTGTGTCGCCTAACCCATTCAAGCACCGACTCAGCGTGACTGAAGTTATTGGTAACAGTTTGATCAAGGCTGATTTGATCTAAACATTTCAGTTTCTGTTTCTATTCTCTCCTTTCTGCACACAGGTCAATAGCAACAGGAACTAACATTCCAAAGCTGTCGGACGAGGAAGCTAGTGAAGCGAAGGCTTCTACCGTTCCATCAACCGCTACGTGAACTATTCGAGCAAGTGTATGAGTTATGTACGTACATAACACTTCTCTTTCTAATTGATGGCTACAAAAGTAATCCTTTTCTACAAATTTTATGAAATATCCGCCCCACATGGCTTGAGTGGCCATTCTTCAGTATGGGAATACCCACTCAAAAACTGCTAGTCGTTCTCAATCTAGGAAACGCTGCTGGATTTGACCAAACATGGAAGGGATAAGTCGACTGCAGTAAGACTCTTAAATGTCGCCGAAAGACTTGTAAAAACCAAAACAAGGTTAGCAACTAGATTGAGAAACGTTCAAATCCCTCCCGGCCTGGGCTTCATTCCCACAAAAGAGGATTCTTTGATAGGTGGCTTCATAATCCTTCCTTGCTTCGACAAGGGTGACAAGGTGTTGTGGTTTTTCAGTGTGTCTGTAAAGGACGGCCGACTCATCCGATGACCTTCTGTTGTAGGAATTCAGACGGTTCCAGAACAAACAGACTGGGAACCCCACCATGATTGGGAGCGTATAGAAATCTGGTGCACTTCCAGGCAACCGAGAGGTCAGTCTGTCTCACTCTGACCTTCAAAACGCTGGCTTCTCCCAGTATATTATTCATCCGTCCTCTTGGTCGGATTGTCGTGCCTGAAATTTAGGAGTTAGACCATGCCACAGCCAGTCCTGGAGGCAGCCAAAGAAACAACCCAAAGAATTACTAGCCGGTAACTTTCTTGTCCGCACCTTCAAAAGTGTTTTTGCCACTCTCAGATGGTCTATGCAACTACCTGATATCCCCTATCTTACTCGGGCCAAATTTTCATGGTTTTAGAAGCAGTTCACGCATCACTAGTCCATTAACTTCATCAGATAGCTCGAATAACGTTACTATTCGCCGGAGGAAAACAGATGTCATATTACTTGGTTTTTCTTAGACGTTTGGAAGCGCACACTGTAA